CCTTCCGCACACAAGACATAGATTATGGCAATGACATATTTACAAGAAATTATCTTCAAAACCACATTGTGGTGTAAACACCAAGAAAGTCAATGAGCTTTTTTATAAATGCATGACTAGGTGTAACTCTGAGGAGGAGTTTAGTCGACGAATAACATTTGTCATAATGCCTCTAAGCCAACAAGCACCCTCACTGAGAGTTTCTTCGGTCTTGAAAATTTCATGAAAGCTTGGAGAAGGAATGAGAGGGATGAAGATTTTAAATCTGAACAGTCAAAGTGAGTCGACGAATAACATTTGTCATAATACCTCTAAGCCAACAAGCACCCTCATTGAGAGTTTCTTGGGTCTTGAAAATGTCATGAAAGCTTGGAGAAGGAATGAGAGGGATGAATATTTTAAATCTGAAAAGTCTGCAATTGTTCCCGCTGTAAAAAGTAGTCCTGTGTTGAGGCAAAGAGCTTTAGTTTATACGAGGAAGCTATATTCAATATTTGAAGCAGAGTTGTTACATGTTATGTGTGGTCTTGCTGTGGAGTGCTCAACCACTTCAAATTCAGATTTTTTTGTTAGAAACTTACATAATGAGCACACAGTCAGACCGTAGATTGTTAAGGTCGATAAAGGTAATTCTGAAATTACATGCAGTTGTAAAAAATTTGAAATGATGGGCATATTATGTGCTCACACTCTAAGAGTGCTTGACCATGAGAATATAACAAAGATCCCTGATAAATATATTTTACTGCGGTGGTCGGTTCATGCAAAGAGGGATATATATAACAATTATGGTTATAAACATTTGAAAGATTCTGAAAGATTCACAAACTTCAGCAATTTGTTCGAGTGGACTCATATATCGAACGCACGTTCATAAATTTGCATACCAGATCAGCATATTAACTCAAGGTAATGAACTTGTTGAACAAAACATGCTGGAAACATTAAAGAAACTAACACTTGAATCTGAAGCCATATTGAATGGGAAAAAACCTCAGGAAATGCCAATGTCAAAGAAGAAAAAGACACCGAACAAACCACACAATTTGAAGGACCCAACGAAGATGC